TATCTTTTTAGAAGTAAACAAAAACAAAAACAAAAATGTCTTGAAAATAGACCAGCATTTGAAAATCAGAAGGAAAATTATCTAATATCTTTCAAGACAATAAAAGTCATAAAATTTTTATTTAAATGTCTTTACATGTGATTTTATGATTAAATAGCTTTAAAGCATTTCATTTGGGATTCTTCCAAATTGGTCAACTGGGCAAATCATCTTGAAAACTTGGTAGTTTTAGGAATAATTTTCAAAATATTAAAATGTGTAATTCACTAACAAATGAGCTGTAACTATTAATGATCATATTTTTTTAATTTCTAAGATTTTGCTATGTCTAAATAATTTTTGACACTGATATTTTCAACAGCCCCAAGAATAATAATAATCACCACCATTCTGTGAAAAATGTATTCATGCTAAACTATGATAAAAATAAAGATGGCTAATAAATTGGTGATGAAATATTATGAAAAACTCTTTAAACATGAACATACTGGAGTAAATCTGTTTTCATGAATTGCATAATTAATAATCACTGAGACATGAACTCTCTGCTACATCAACTGAACTGTGTATAATACATAAAATTTTCATGTATTTAAAAACTATTCATCTCCAAATGTTTTCATATCATATGCTGTTAATAAAAATGCCTTAAATTTATCTCAGTTACAGAAATATTCTTATTTCTCCTATTTCCATTGCTTTGAGATGTTTTCTGAGCAAACTCATAAAAGGAACATAAATAATATATTAAATCGTTGTAATATGGACATTTGTGTTTTCCATTAAGATCAAAGTATAAACCAGAAATAAAAAGCATAAGAAGAAAACATCAATACTTGAAAAGTAAATTAAAAATTCAAAACCAAATTATTAATAAATATTTAAGCCTATTAAATAATGGTAGCTAAATTACAGTCATTTTGACATTACTCTTTCTCTCTGGAAAAAAAATTCTTACATAAATAGTGAAATAAATGAAATACATTTATGTTAAAAATTCTTTATACCATAGTTGATGGCAAAGAATTCCAGATATATAACCGAAAAAGCAAAGAAAATACTATTATGCAAATGAGCTGAAGAGAGGAAAATAATGAGAATGGATTCTATACCCCCACCCCAACAAAGTTTATTTTTTCTCATTAGGTGAGAAAATGACTTTGGAAATAAATATCAAAATTTATGTAAAGAAAAACTTAAATGATAATAAACACCAGTAAGTAGTTATTAGGAAACATTGCCCTTCTCCAAAAAGATCTAACTTTAATTACCATGTGACTCATCTAAACTATCATTAAATATTTAAGTTCTGTCAAAGTTTATAATATTTCAAAAGGTTGCAAGAGACCTATCCAGGTAATTTAAATATGTTATCCCACAATCTAACTATGAATGCAATTTTTTTAACTTATCATAACAATAAACTAAAAGAAGTATTAATTATTAGTACTTACAAAATAATTGTACTCAAACTGATGAAATCGCCTTAGTAGCAAAAGCAACCTAGACTTACAAATCTGTATTAACTATGTATGTATATTCTTACTTCAGTTGAGAGACAAATCTCTGCTTTGCACTGGATCCTCAAGTAAGAAATTCCTACAAATGTATCCTATTTACAAACTAAATCATCATCAAAATTGTCCAATTTTAATTATTAAATATTTTAAGGAACAACTCAAAAACAATAAGCTGTAACAAAATTCAAAAATACAGTATTTATATATTCTTATAAGTTTTTAAAAATATTATTAAATGCTATCGTTTCCATATTAATGTGTGTCAGAATACATATATTCATTACCAATCCATAATCATATGATCATTTAAATCACAAGTTAATATTAGGAAGTCAAATGAAGACTGCCATTTTTAAACCACCAACGGTCACATACCATCCTCAAATAGCAGAATCTCACTGCATTTATCAACAAGTCTAAAGATAAGAAGGGTACAGCACCTAAGTCTTGTTTATTTTTGAGAAATTGGTGACATTACAGAGACCAGAAGAAAGTGTGATTGTATTCTTGCCAACAAATTTTAAATAGAATTATGTTAACTATTAATGTACAGCTCTATTTTAAAACTACACATGCATATATTCTCTTCATTTCATAGCAACTAAATTGTTCTTGATGTGCAATTCTTTGCAGTAGAGTTTTCTTTTTTTTTTTGCTATTCCTGTTTATTTTTATGTATTTTTTTTATTTATTTTTTGTTGAAGTATACGTAGTCAATATTTTTTAAAGAAAAAAAAAATCCTGGAAGCCACAGCATGAATTTTTAAACATTATGTTAAACTATGTTAAACTAAAATGATTTTTTTATTTCCCCGAATACATACTATTAAAAATGTTTCATAGTACTTAAAAAATATCTAGTGACACATGTACTTCTGAAGACTCAAAAAAAAAAAACAAAACCCAAAACTATTCCATGTACTTAAAAATAATGAGTAGATATCGGTTCAGTTGAACATTTAAAATTCCTAATTACCTACAATGCTTATTCTTTCATAACAAAATAGTATATAGATAATGAGGGAAAAATCTAATTTGAATCATTTATTAAACATAGTATGCTTTCAAAAATTCTCATACAGTAAAAATGCCAGTAAAATAATAATTTTTAAAGTATTTTAAAAACTTTTGTTAAATGGTCCTGAATTGTAACCTGATTGTGTAAGTGATGCTGACATGATACCTGCACACATCATTTATGACTATTTATTATTACCTGCAATTGCTTGGCTAAAATCTGTAGGATTCCTGCCTTGTTCAAAACAATTATTCATATGATTTATATGCAATTTATGTGAGTCCCAATATAAGAGAAACTCCTCCACCAAGGCATCAAAATCAAGAAGAAAAAAAATAAAAACTGAAATCTACATAATTTTTCCCTACGAAAAAAGTGAGATATATTTCAAAAAACGAATACTGTAGTCATCAAAAAAATTCCCTGAAGTATCATTTTCTAATTTTAATTTAAAGAATATCACTGCCCTGGTTTGTTACATCACAAAAATGCTAATACTTAAGTTTTATCAACTTTTTTTACATACTTCTTCCTAAAAATGTAAGAACACAAATATATACATTTTATGAGAATTGTTCTCATGTATCATTTTAACACTGTTTTATTAGTAAATACACGATATGTAACAGAAGATTAAAGCAAGCTTAATATTAATAATCAACATTTGTACTCTAGAAACTGTTCACTACCTATAAATAAAAGTTTTCCAGCAATATAATATTTCATAATTCATGGATATACTTAAGTTTACCAACATATAACCATTAAATAGCTTAAATTTGGATGTCTTGTGGTTCTAAATATTAATACTGGTTAATAAAATGTCTAATATTTGAATGTATTAAAAGGTAAACACAGGAAACCAAATTATAACAAGGTGTGATCAAAGAAGAAAAGGGCTATTTTTTTTATTCACCTATAAAACAAATTTATGAGATCATAAAGAACAATTTAACAACCTAAAGAAGGTTCAAAGTGGGGAAAGCCAGAGCCTGAGAGAAAATGGATTTGTCAATGATTTCAATCATTCAGTATAGGGAGGAAAAAAGCAGAAAATGTAGGTTCATTTTGCAATATAAAGTAAGAGGCATAAAATCCAGTAGCCTGTCTATGGCCTTCTATTTATATATTTAAACCCTGTTTCAATTCACAGATTATGCTGATCCTTCCACATGTAAGCAGCCAATAATGATGGCCAGGCCCTTAGGAAAGGAAAACACACACCACACAGCAAGGTCAGGAAGCTACCAACCACCACAGGACAACAGATCAAAACAGAATGGTTTCATATGTTTCTATTGTTTATATACTTAATTTGAAGATGATATTCCTTGGGGAGTAAAGGACGTTGTAAAAATTACCAGGAACATGCAACACAGAATCAAATAAAATACATACTTTTCTTGCAAATATACTAAGTATTTCTTGCATGTATCTGTCAATCTGTAGTATTGAGAGCCATTCATTCAATTTTTTAAACTTAAATGTCAAGCCAAAATAAACCTCTTTGGTCTTAAATCCCTTTACTCCTAAGAATTCCTTACAGAGAATTAACTTCTTTCAATGAAATAATCAAGCTCACAAACTGTATATTTTTTTTTTTTTGCTATAGATTAAGCAATAGAGGAGTGAAAATGGAAGAGTAGTACTAATTCACTTGTTTCTGAGTTAAAATTTTGAAAATAGTAAGCAATGACATTCTGTTTGGTATTTAAGCACCTTAAAAAATTACAACACAATATAAGCAATGGTGGAAATTTACCCAAAATAGCAGACTAGAACATTTTAAACACACAAACTAGAGCCACAGCTGGCCACATGTTTTTTGAGTTCAGTTTCTTAAAGAGACAGTATCCTTGGACCTATGCCCTACAAGGGAGCACATTTCTAAAATGTTTGATTACCAAACATCTTCTCTTGGCATTTCTTCAAATCCACAGTTGGCCAACAGTGTTCTATTTTATTTTACTGTAAAATCAAATTATTTTTATTTGAATCCACAAATGACTATCAGGGAGGCAGAAACGAAGTAATAGGGGAAGCTACTGTGACTTAAGATATCTCAAATAAGGAGACCCATAGATTTCCTATAATAGCAAATTTTTTTAAACTTAAAATGATCACTCTTTCTTCATTCATTTCCCCACTCATTCACTCAGCAGAGGCGACAGAGTATATTGTAACCCATAACACCGGAAGCTACACTACAGCAATTTCGCTGTCGAATGAAGAGGGGAACTTGCTAATAAAGTCAACCAGCACCCAAGCAGTGAAATTTCAAAGACTTCATTTTCCGTTTAGGAAAAGATACCCAGTAAGGGGCCCATACACATACCCTAAAAACCGGATTAACCCAGGATGGTAAGGAAGATTTTCTCTTTCGGTGTACGTCCATTGACAAACCTACTGACCAACTCCTGCACATGGAAAAAAAGAAGAGGGGTGATAGAAGTTTGGCTTACTTGGTGTACAAACACATCGACTGGAATATCCAAGGGGCTTCCCTCTCGGTTTATCATGGAGATGAATCCAAATCCCATTCGCACATTGAACCACTTACAGTGGCCAGTTCCGTGCAAAACTTGGGATTCCTCCTCTGCCTGCTCCGGCAGCTTCCCGGGCTCTTCTCCACCACCTTTGCTTGCCCCGCCTGAGTAGAATAGGACAAAAAGAGTAAGTTAGTCTGGATTCCCAAACTGTTCGTTGAAAGAGAAAAAAACTGATTGGGGTGTGGGGGTAGGAAATAGAAAGAAACTCGAATAAATGGTTGATTCTTTTCTTCTACGGAAAATATTTAAAAAGAAAGGGTTAAAAGGGGGAAGCGGGGGGAGGAGGGAGCCACACTGTTCTATCGATCACATCAACTTCCACTTTTCTGTACATACGTGTACTTTTTCATTTAACTCCATTTTCCAGCCACATATTACAGTACAGCATGCGATACTTTACTTGCATATTGCTGATTTAACACTGATCCCATTTACAAAGAGAAATTTTCAGCGGAACTATTCTCTCCTGAGGGCACGAGGAGGAAAGAGAAATCGTGAAGATGGTTAGAACTAGTTAATGCACATGCGGCAGCAGTGAATCCAGGGTTATTTGCAATGTGCATACCCCTCCCCCCCAATAACTTTCAATTAAAGTTGGGGTGGAATGGGGGAAGGGGCAGGTGTATAAAAGTTTTCTTGGGCTCACTAACTGAAACTGCGCTTAATCACACTCAAACAATTCAAACAATAGCCCACTGAAAGCTTTTCAAGTTGTGAATCAGTGTGGGCGGTACAAAACATTTTTGGAGATCTATAACAATAGGTTGCAGAAAGCCCCAATGCGCGATAGGGAGTGGGGGTAATGCCCCGCATTGGGGTAAAAGGGGAAGGGGGGACCGGGAAAGAAGGGTGGGAAAGGGGGAGGGGGGAGAGAAAGGAAGAGAGAAAATCACAGTAAAACAATAGAAAAGAAAATTAACCTTCGGCCATGTTGCCCCACGGGCCCTCTGCTCCAAACTCGTGAGATGAAAACTTTCCCTTTGGAACGGAGTGATCTTCTGCATCAATCTAACATCTTGATTTTGTGCGATCACAAATTTAGCTCGCATGGTCTAACGTGATTTCCCTCTTTTGATTTTTTTCTCTTCTCTCTCCAGTTTCTGGCCCCCTGAGCCACGTGACTTTGTCAATTACATGCTTTCTTGCTACTAATTTCACCTCGGATCCTTAAGGGGCTGGCAAGAGGAAGAGATAACCAATCGCCATTTCATCTATGCTGACATCAAAATAATTTATGAATGAACATGAAAAACTCAAACATGTTATCTTAAAGACAATTTGGGACGCTTCTTTAGGATAAATCAGAATGCTGATTTTGTGCTTTTACTTAAACACAATGGAGGGAGTGTGAATCGTCGATTTAGAAAAACGGCAGTCATATATGTGCCCACGCGTGCCTTACACACAAGCCTGTCTAAATAATCTCATTTAGGGGGAAAAAGCCATTTAAATAAAGCAACCGATGTTATGCTTTTTTTTTCCCCCTAGGAAGTCAGCTGCTCCATAGTAGTAAATCTGCTTGGGGTGAAAATTTCATATTTAATTCAGTTCTTAGAGGAAAATATATAATTTACAAACGATCTAATTAAACCTAATTACATCTCCATGAAACTTTAGATAATAGTAACATACACCTACAATAAGACGAAAACACACAATTTCCTGATCGTGCCCCGAAATTTTTTCAAATTTAAAATAAGATCCTACCGGAAAAATCGCTAGCACCTTCATGTACTCAAATTATGTTTAGGTTTATCATTTCGGAACATTTTGAAGGGGGAATTGTACTTCACAGGTTTCTCCGCCATCTCTTTCCGGGGGAGGAGATGTGATTAATGACTTCCTAAATAACAGCCCAGTTTTCCAGCCTAACATAGAGTGAACCTCAATCAGTGGCGATTGTTCCCCAAGAGCAAGACGACGTAGGGCAGGGAGGGGGAGGGGAGCGCCAGGCAGGGGAGGTGAAGAGGAGCCGCCAGCACAGGCGGCTGCAGAGCCAGAGAAAGAGGTGGGGGAGAAAAAAAAAAAAAA